CTATAACTTACAAAAATAAAATACTTCCTTTTGTGACTGCAAAGTAGATAGAACACAATTTTCATCAAGTTCAAGAACCAGGTGACACAGAACTGACAGATATATGAAAATACATTTGCTCATTAACTTGAACAAACATGTTGAAGAACTTTGAAAAAGCTTTTGTAGCACGTAGGGCCAGGAAAGGTCATTTGCATTTGTTTTATTCATATTACTCTGTTTCTAGGAGAAACCAGACTTCTGTTTGAGTATCTTTTCTGATACAATGGAACACCATTGCTGCTGCTTTTTGTCTCACCATAATAAGCCTTTGTCTAGGACCTCTTGGGTGTCACCATGACAAAACTGTGAATACTTTCATGGCGACTCAGTAAGCTAAAATCTCTACTAAGAAACTGTGGGTTCTCTTTCATTTGTTTGCTTTCAGTATCGAAACTTACAAGTAAATTAAAAACCTGTACAACTTGGTGGCACAATTAAATATGGATGTTCACATAAAATAGTAATTCCACAAAGAAGTAAGGAAGTAAATGTGTATGAGCCTATTAGAAAACTGAACAGGAGTAGAATACCTTAATATGATTTGAGTAGAGTTACTTTTGAATCAGTGCTTTGAAAGGATACTCATAACTTTTAAGACAGTGGGAAAAAAGTAGTGGGATACAAGGATACAGTATTTTTTTATGAAAGAGTGTCACTTTAGTACATACATTACACAGCTAAGCTAGCAGAATTTAAGACATCTCTATTTTGTTGAGCCAAACCTATGTACTCAAGGATACAAAACACACACACAAACTCTGACTTAGGTATCAACCACAAAACAGCACTAGATTATAAAGAGCTACAGAGCATCATATTGAAACACACTGCTTTCCAGGAAATTGGAATTTCACTGTGCAAGGATATTAACATTAGGCAAAAGTTGAAAGCTATTAAAGAATAATATGAAAAGCAATTGCTCTTAAACACATATTTTATATCTCTCATCCCACTTGCTGTGAATAGGGATTTACATGGACTTACATATACATATATATGGGATATATGTATCTGTATGTACATTCTCTTTGTATTAGTAGTACTCAGGAAAAAATATGCATATATATAAAAGTATATATAAAAATATATCTGTGCATAACAAACACTACAGTCATAGATTTTACCCCGTAGCACTAATAATACAAAAGGGATCTTTTTCTTTCATCTATTGATATTGGATAAATTTGCCCCCATGCTCATTCTGGAACTCATGTTCCTTCCCAGTAATAAAGCCTTGAGATCCTCCAGGACACTTCTTCAAACAAAAGTTATTTTATTTTTTTCAGCATGGAGCCTTACTGACTACACCTGACCCAGTATTTAACCCACAGTATTGAATCTCACTATAGGTTTCAGTGGGGCCATACAGTCACCCTTCTTTTTCAATATCCTTGGCTACATGATAGAAATAAAAAAGTCTTGTTAAACAGAACACCCTAACGCTTTCTGGAATCAATGACCCTATTGATTAAGTAATTGATAACTCATAAATAGTATCATTTGTCTTAATGAGTATTATTCAGGATGACTGAAGGGCTACTGTTCTAAAATTACCACTAAACCCAGTGTGAAACGAATCTGCCCAGAAACACTGTGAAAATCAGTACCTTTTTACCACAACATAAAGTGATTGCTACATTTTCAATCGCAAACATTTACATTAAACTCATTCACTTGTGGAACAATTCTTATTAGTCTAAGCTTTTTACAGATATTACCAAAGTAATGAACTTCCCATGAATATGTCAAACCACTGAATTAATCGGTAGAGCCATATTATCTGGTACTGTTTAAAAACCCAGGGTATAACTGAAAAAAATGTCACACTACCCTGACCACTGCTGTAATTCTCATACTTAAATAAACTTAGGTTCAATTGGGATGCCACACATTTTGAGAGATCAAGGACTCTACTTTTCCTGAAGGGCAAAGCAACACAACTGCTTCTTCCATCATTACCATATTTTACTGCCATCAAGATTTTACAGCATGTCGCATTTCTTTTCAAGTACCAGCTTCCATAAACTATAGTCACTACTTGACAATCTCTAGTAAAAGTAGACTTTGAGTCCTACTAAGTTAAGACAGACAGCTTAAAAGTCTATGCCTTATACATCACAGCCTCCCATACTATAAGAGAAATAAAAAGCTCAAAGTGATCTGACCACTGATATTTGTGATTCTCTTATTGTTTTCCCTTTATATTTGTCAGCAGAATTCTGTAGCTCTTAACTCAAAAAATGCTGGAGAGCATGATACTCAGGTGGACAGAATTACTTTGGCTTCATGATTAACATGAGTAGCAGGTCACTGTGCATTTGCACACAGATGTGGTGCCAGGCACAATTTAGCTCTCTGTGGGAATTCTAACATCAGAAAAGGTATAATATCCATATATTAAGGTGTCTTCTGGTAACCACACCAAAGAAGTCATTTTCTTTCACCTCCCAGAAGATTCTCTTAACCTACCTTCTTTCGTCTGCAAAAATTCAACAGGAACTACACTGCTTAACTGATCCCAGGTTGGTCTGGAATGACCTCTGAAACTATGTCCTCCCACACAATTTAGATGATAGCAAGACTATTCCACTAGCCCCTATGCCTCAGGTACTACAGCTCAGTCTTCCTGTTTGTACATTCTGCCCCACTACCCTCCATGCTTTTTTGCTGTGTTTTTTTTTTTGTTTGTCTGTTCGTTTTGGGTTTGTGTGTGTGTCACTACTTTGTATCAAAAGAATAGGTTTGGAGGCTTGGGCTCTTTGGTCTTGTTTTGGGTATTGCTTGTTCTCCTGTGGGCATTTACCCTCTTTTTAGAAGGAGTTAAGCACAAATCTGCAGGTTTCAGCAAGATGGTGCTGTTATTCATCAGGAAATCATCTGATGTGAAGATCAGCATATGAAAGAAAGAGCATCTTGCAAGGTTCCTGCCCATTACTACTATAGATCCATGCTATAAAATAAACTGAATTTAACATGAGACCACTCAGATGGTCTCCAGACTTCTCATGCACAGACATAAACAGTTTTATTCTATCTCTCTTTGCATGAAAGAAGAAACACCAAGCAATTATAAAACTGAAATAATGAAATCTGAAGAGAGGAAAGCACAGCAAACCTGCTGCAGTATGACGATCACTGTATTAGTTACAGCAGCAGCCTCCGTAAACATTTTTAAATATTAAAACGTCAGAACAGCTAAATAATTTTCCTTCTGCATGCATCACTCTCCCAACCAAAAAAACCAAAAAACAAAAAACAAACAAACAAAAAAAAAACCCACAAACACAAACCAAAAAACCCCAAACACACAACCAAGAAAAACCAACCAGATTTTAGAACAGTAAGATGTAACAGTGTAATTCTATTTACAAAAAAAAACAAAACACAGGTATTTAGCATAGTGGACTGGTCTGAATGGACTGATCTCTTTATTATTCCTTTTCTTTAAGTAGAAATTCTAATAAACACAGGCAGTAGCAGCTGAATGGACTGATCTCTTTATTATTCCTTTTCTTTAAGTAGAAATTCTAATAAACACAAGCAGTAGCTTGCATATTTATACTGACAATGTTATCCTGTGCAGTGGATGAGATTTCTCTTAGAGACTGCACACAGGGAACATAACGCATCTGACAACGATTAAACGACAAAGTTCACAGCGCTAAAGAGAAAAATATACACAGGGGATAAGATGACTTTTTAATTTTTTTTACCCAGATGTTGCCCATCCTTTGAAAATAAATAAGATCATAAATAAATAGATTTGTTTTAGATCCTGAGTTTGTCTTGAACATGAAACGGCTGCCAGCTTTTCAAGTTTCCGTGCACTGGAAATCTTAGCCTTACCCTTGGAGCACGACAAGGGGCAATATAACATATGTTGCACACACAGCAAGTAGTTTTAAATTATCACAGTCCTAATACTAGGCTGCCATCTTGCGCCAAAACTGTCATTTCCCCACAGAAATTCACAGGCACAATGGATTCCTCATGTCTTATTTATTTCAGAACTGAAATCCCATCCTTCAGTATCACTGGTTCCATCCACTAGTTCCTATGGTTATTACACTAGGCCCTACCAGGTGGGAAAAAGGCTTCCTAAATTCATGAGGCCATGTGGCCACAGTAGAGCAGGTAGCTACTGTCAACCACATAAGACTGCACCAGTTAAGAGCCACAGTTCTACCTTATCATGAATAAAAGCAACATTGGCGGGAATTTGTTATTTAAAACAATGAGATAGAGTCTACAGAGCCTGACTTTTAATGAATTGAAACAATACTGAGTGATTTTTATGAATTAATCAATGCAATTCAGTTCTGAATATAAAATACCCAGTACTTGCAGAGATACATTTGCAATCTAAGCAGTTATAGATCTTTTTTTAGAAAGCAAACTAAGGACAAAGCAATGAGAAAAAACAATCTGATTATAGAAGGAACATCAACCCCCAAACCATTAATTAAATTCTAATATAGAATAAAACCTATACCTCCATCCCCTCAGTAAAGATGCGGAACAACACATGGCCATTAAAATACTGCTGATCTGCAGCAGAAACATGCCGCAACGTATGTGTGGATCCCACACACATTGATGGAAACCACAATAGATTAAAAAAAGCATCTCACACTATCAGGGTTTTTTTAAGGCCATCTTTGGTGCATTAAACTTGACTACCTGTCAGGTGCCCACCCAGCCATTCTATCACTCTCTCTCCTCTACAGGACATGGGGAGAAAATACAATAAAGACCTCATGAGTAATTATTATTTTTACTGAATTAATGGATCCTCTTTCTTGTAGTTCTGTAGTCTTTTCTTAGGTGGACAATAAAGCAGCAGAGATTTTTAACACAGGGCTACAATAATCACAACAGCTGAAAGGAACGTGTAATATTTACTTGGTCCAGCCCTCATCAAAGCAGGTCCAGTTTTAATACAGTGCTCAGAGACTCACCTAGTAAAGACTTGACTGCATTCAAGGATGGAGGTTCTTCAACCTCGCTGGGTCCCTGTTTCCATTTTTGGGCCCACCCTTTGTGAAAAAGATCATATATATCGGGACAGAATTTCCCATGTTCCAAATCAGGCTCATTCCATTCTGTCCTGACATGGCGCACTTCAGGCTGAGGTCTGGGCAACAGCACCCTCGCTCTAGAGCTTCCCCTGAGGTGATGTTTCTGCCACACTACATGGCACTTACCCACCACTGCTGTGTAGTCTCCAGCAAATTCTGAGACCCTTTATGCCCCCTTGCTGCCACACTGTTGCCACAACTGCTCCACTCTTATAACTCACCAAACAAGAAATCACTAACAAAAATTTTCAAACAAAATCACAATCTATAGTAAATAAAAGCAAATCAACCAATCAACAACAACAAAAAAAAAAAAAAAAAACAAAAAAACCCCCAAAAAATCACAAGAAAACAACAACAAAAAAACACAAGCCTCATCTCCTCCCCCTTAAGGATGGTACGAGAAGTTACCTGCACTAGGACGTATTTTAAGTTTATGCCACAGCAGATTATCAGTATTGCTTTAAAGCTCCCAGAGGAGTAACAGTGAAATGAAGACCGTATCTTCCAACACACTCCCACTGACAACTTCAATAATAATGAATGAACTTTGATGGAATATATGTAATGTTGGCTGTGTTTTTTATGTTGGGATGGCAGCGGTGCTTCTCCGGCTATTATGACATGGGAAATGACAAGTCCCCAGAGAATAAGGAGTATCAAAAGGTCATTTCCTGAATTTTTAGAGAAATGTCATGATCTATTACAGAATACTATGGGATGTTCCTATAGAAACAGTTTGGATATGGAAAACTTTGTTGAATCTGATGTTACAAGATAACAAAAAATTCAAAAAAATATAACCAAAGAACAGGACATTAATAAGAAAGGATAGCAGAAAGGAGGAAAACAATTATGGAAAGAAGGACACTGCCAGCTTTATGAAGGCATTCCTATAAATTCCTATAATTTTTTTCAGAATGAAAGTGCTCAGCAAAGTTCAATTCAACTCCAAAAGATGAGAGCTGAGCCTTATATTAATTTTCATGCAGGTTAACCAAAATTCCACTTCATTTGACATAGGATCCTCAGTGCCACCATGGAATGTCACTGCTTTTCTAACCAAAATTTCAAGACTTTGTTGTTCAACATGAATTCAGGAATTTTGTTTAATCCAAGCCCCAACTACCAACTGAAGAAAAAACAGTCATCCCTCTGAAAAGAACTCTAGTATGCAAGCTGCACGACTGCACCAGCTGTCCACCCAGAAAACTGAGGAAGAGGTGCTGCAAAGATAAAAAGAGCTAAATAACGCAACAGCTTATGCTAGGTGTGATAGCAGCAATCTGGTGGCAATTTACTGCTGTATAATGAATACCCAGAATATACTGCAGGCAATGAATCAGAGACCAAATTTATCAGTTGTTCTCCTAGAACAGGAAATAAAAATTTGGTATTTTAATTTCCAAAAATACAAAAGAAACATTTAAAAGTTACATTTATTAGCATATTCTTTCCTCTGAAATATCTGGATCTGTTGATTATTCCAAGTCTCAAAAACTGCATTGCCATATCAAAAAAGCTAACAAAAGTAATGCTGTTGTATTATAGCACTTTACTTTAGGAACCAAGCATCAGAGTGCCACACATTTGGAACATATTTGAACACAGTGGGGTGCTTACATCTCCACAACTTCTTCAAAAGGTTTGATACCTTGGTGGTATTTTCTGTATATTTTTGTTTAAGTTTTACACTACAAATTGTACATTTATTGCCCTAATGCCAGAAATTCTATTAGTATACCAATAAGCAGGCATTCGTGCTAATAAAGCAATGAAAAACCCCAAACATAAAACGAAATCACCGGCCACACTCCCCACCTGTTCCATCTCTGGCACCTTGAAATTATGTTCATCAAAGCAGTTCTAACACCACTGGAATCTGAGCACTGCTCTCAAGAGATTACTTCTTTTTAACATGTCACTCTCCCAACATAACTGTTTTAATAAAAGAACATGCAAACAACAGGTAGTATTATTTTTTCTAGATGATTATCTGTTTCTCTTCAAGGAGACACTACCAATATCTTTTACAGTGGTCTTGACAATATGCTAAAAAGGGATCTCTCCAAACTGAGCACAGATCTTTAGTCCTGACTTCTCTTTCTCCTCAATGGCATTACTTCCCTGACCATGGATTTCACAGCAGTGGGAAGACTTGCAGCAAACACCAAGTTTCCTCTTGGTGTCACACCAAGAAAAAAAAAATAAAAAAAATCCATGTAAGGAGAGAAGAGTGACATCCAGTCTCTGTCACTGCTAAGGCACAAACCTAGCAGTGTTATTTTGATAGGAATGATTTTGTTATTTTATCACACTGAAGACCAGAATTTAACCCAATTTGCCAGGAATGAACATATGTCATCAAATCATTCTGCACAACTGTACTGTTATTCACTTTAATTTGTCTCTCCAAACATTAAATCTATTTAGCAAGGTTAAACATCTTACCCACAAACACAGCCCTAGGTGTGTAGCAGGACGGATTCCCCAGAGCATGTCAAATGCAGCACTCATTGCTTGTCTTTCAAATGAATCAATTTGAACATACACAGAATTCAGTTATGCACTGTACAGCCTGGCAGTGCTAAAATCAACTCCATTCTCCCTTTAAAAAGCAAGCACTCAGTTTTCAGTTATTGGTTTAACATGTTCGTTACCTCTCTGCAAAGCTAGCCATAGCAAATTAATAAGCTTGTGAGAAAACAAGACCATGTAATGGCAAAACCTGTAACAAACATTTTCATTTTGAATACTACTCGTACAAATACTGACATAACATGAATCCTGATGGTGAAGTGGTGTGACATTTAAATCACAAAATATGATTGTTATTTTAACCACATTTAGACGACTAGTACGCATTTAATACCTGCAACACTACTTGTACCTCTAAAAAAGTGATCTGGTATACCAGAGGTTTAACATTTCAAAACTAACTGTGCATCACCTGATTTTGGGCTACCTGGCTCTTGGAAAGGCTTTGATAAATTCAGACACCTGAGTGAAAGTAAGAGGAGAAGTCTCACTTATTGTCTTTTACCAAAGTCCTGTGGTGATTCTCAACACCAAAGTTGATTCTCATCACCAAAGGACTATAACATGTAGCATATGGCCAAGGCATACGGACAATACTGCATTTCTCTTTGCACTGTACCTTCTTCCAGTGTGTCTAAGTTAACCCATATGTAAGTTTCAGTCACACTACACAGTGATAAATACTGAACTACGTTTTTCATTCAGCTGTATACAAGTTATTTTCTCACTAGTTCCCAAACTTGCTGTCCACCTGGGACACTCTCTGCTCATGTTCAATTTTGTGGTAAACTGAAACCCTCTCATCTGCCTCAAACATTTAATTTATGTATCTGATTGTTTCTTTCCCAATAAGTCTTTTTTTTTTTTTTTTTTTTTTTTGTGCCAATGCTGCCTTTTTGAGCAAATCATATCTAGAAAATGTAACATCAGTTCTCACAGGTCATAAGGACCAGAAAAGGCTGTTTCACTACCTGGCTAATAGCTCATATTCTTAGCTGTAATTAGGAGCATAAACCCTCCTCTGTGAAAGCTAACAGTGGTGAAGCAAGGAATAGTTTGTGCAAAGTTACTTCTGGTCACAGTTGACCCTTTCAAGACCTACACATAATTGTGCAAAAACAGAATTAGCCAGGGTCAGTTTTATCATTTGAGAAAAATATGAAGGAATCTTAATATGCTAAATATTTTTAAATTAGCAATTCACTTAATTGTCAACACTTGGTTATCCTAACAGAAAATAATAAACATTCTTAATATTGTTCTGAAATACAAAGCCCACTGACACCTGGTGCATAGACAAGTGTGTCATCATACTAGATTTGGCTGTTTGTCTCAGCAAATATCAAAACAGCATGAAACAACTAGTTCAGAACTGATGAACCTTACAAGATTGAGTGATTCTGAAAAGGAAATTTTCAAGAAAGGGAAATGAAAATGTTTCCAGTATTCCTCCCAGAGTAGTGCTCCTCCTATGCCTGATATTTATTCTAAACAACCACTTTCTTCTATTTGCAGGGAAGACAAAGTATCACCTGAAACCAAAAATTACCAGAACTAAATTTGATTTTCTGCATTATCAGCAGGAGCTAACAGGACCTTGTTAACACGTAATTTATTGCATTAACGCATGAGTCACTTTAGGGATTTTGCTAGCACTTACATTGTATACGGGTGAATTATTTATTCCAACACCTTACTTCTAGTAATTGAATAAAAATTAGTATAACAAGGTATACTTGTAAATTCTGTGAAATTCTCATATGGTGAGAGGAGGAGATATTTCACAGGATGCATGGGAAGCTAACAGTAGAAGAAAATGAAAAACAAACAAATAAAAAAAAAAAAAAAAACAAAAAAATTTGCAAAGATTTATGTATAACCAAATTGCTTTTTGCCTGGGAAAAGTACAAAGGTATAATACTTATATGCTCCCATAAAAATGAACTGTTTCTTGACAGAAGAATGTGTCCAACTGACAGCTCATTTTATTACTAGAAGGCTGTAATAGAGCAGGCATACATGATATTACAGGGTAAATGTAAGGCTGCCAACTTACTTTAGCAACCTCATTAGCTAATGTACTAATATAATAAAAACCTTGTGGAAAAAAAAATACACAAAAAAAAGCCAACCAAAAAAAAAAATAATCTAAACATAAGGAAAAAAATAAGTCAAAACCAAAGCCTCTTTTTTTTTGATGTCCATCAGGACATTTTCTCTTGCTTCACACTGAAATAAAAGTTTATTTCAAACACACTTCAAACTAATATTGGCAAATGTGGGCTAACAGTTCCAGGTTCAATCCATTCCAAGTGTCAGTTATGCCCCAGGATCACTGTCAGTGTTTGCCTAATAATTTTTGGTTGCTTTGACTTTGTGTGTTCTACTGTGGAATTCTTCTTCTCTTACTATACTGGAAT